ATTATAATAAACAATATTAGAAAACAGAAAATTAAAAACTCTAGCGTGTATGTACAATATAAATGATAAAATATGTATTTTGCTTATTAAAGATATGCAAAATTATACAAAAAAAAATATGAAATAAATAAAAAGTTTAACTTTAAGTTCAGTTGAATTACTTGAAGTCGTTTATTTGGTACTACTGTTTGGTCACAAATATCACAGAATAGTTTTTTTTTCATAAGTCAAGAAAATGTCTGCACATACTATCATTTTAGCACTTGTTCTTTACAATTTGGCGTTTTAAATGATAAACGTTAAAATTTATTTCAATCAGAAAGAGCACGTATTCACAATCCACGATGGTAACTATGGAAAAACACAAAATCTATAGTTTTATAATAATCAGTTGCAGTTTTATAAATATATGACAATATTAAGACAGGGAATGAATTAAATGACTATACTTATATAAAAACTTGAATATTTTTAGGATAGATAATACTTTATTTGTTTCTTATTTATCACCACAGCTAAAAGATACCATAATACGAGAATTTGTGAAATAATTAAAATACGTAATGGCATGCGTTTTACTCGCAATATACAAAACTATACAAAATAATTTAACCTTCATTTGCATCAACATGGCGCAATTCGTGGACATTACAAAACAAATGCAGAAATCAAGAAATATAAAAATAAAAATATATGACTAGTGTACTTTCATGTTACGACGATAGAAATATCACACATGAATTTATACTCGTGTGTTTTAATATTTTATATATAATATTATGTAGATTCAAAAAATGTATTGTATTCAAAAAAAAAAAAAAACTTGAAGATTAAACGTAATTTAAAGTTATAGGAGATAACTAAAAATATTTTACCCCTATATCATATTATAAGGCGCAAATCAATCATATTGTTAGATACTATATAAAATGTATAAGCATGTGTGCATTATTTATTTTCACATCATTAACTATTTAATGTAAGAATTAACTGCTAAATTAACTCCAATAAAAGTTAAAAAAAAAATATCTTTTATCTAAGCATTAAATTAAAGTTGAGTTGAAATATAAAAATTAACATTATTAAACATTTACACTTTAATAATAAAGAATAATAAAATATCAATGTACGAGTATATAAATTGATAAAAAAATATCTTATACTTAAAATTACAAGCTATCAAGTATTTTAACCAGATAATTACATCCAATAATTAACCAGAACTTGTAACAGCCATAACAATTTCTATCTAACTCGAATCATTTTTTATTTTGCCATATTCATGTTTTACGTATTAGTATATACTTTATGTAGTTAATTCAATTTTTCAGATATTTGATTAAAATTTAACAATTTTATTTATTTTAAAATAAATTTTAAATAAATAATATAGTTGTTTTAAATAACTTGAAAATAAAATCGAACTATATTTTTGATTTTGGTTAAAGTTAATTTCCTGATAAAACATTATTTTTTGAAATAAGTCTAAGTATGTAGAGCCAATAACAATTTAAAATATAGATGTGACTAGTATTATCTGGTATCAAAAACTGTACAGCGTATTTATAGTGACTAATTATTAAAATATCATATTTTATAGTATTATTTTTAATTTGAAGTGACAATACCATGATTTATTTATTTATTATTTTTTTTTTTTTAGTGTTTGAATACATGAACGTATCCAGAACTCAAAACTCGAAACCCAAATAAATAATTCCGGTGCCAAACCATGTTTTTTTAAGTTTATCTCATTAAATATTTATTCACGCAATAGAAAGGGAAACATTACGGAAAGAACAAAATCAAAAACTCAGTTAAATTAAAAGAACAACCTTCAAGTGACCCTCAAACAGCAATAGGAAAAATGAAACAATCCTTAATAGATTAAGAATAGGTCACACAAAAATTACACACGGCTTCCTAATGGCTAAAGAAGAACCACCAGTTTGTATTATATGCGGAACACAAACAACAGTGAAACACATATTAACTGAGTGCTTAAAATACAAAAAGCTCAGGATAAAAATGATCTGTCTGAAAAATTATCAAAAACCATAGGAGCTGACAAGGAATCAAACATAAAATTAATACATTTTCTAAAAATGTCTGAATTATAAATTTAATTAAATTTAACAAAATAATATTTCTATAAAAAAAAAATTAAAAATATAAAATGTAAATTACACGCTAATAGTTTTTGTTGTTAAAGCGTTATTTTGCTTAATAAAAAATAAATATATATTTCTTAAAAAATTTTATACGAGACACATTTTATGGTTATCATCTGTTATACACATATTAAACCATCGCAAACGACATGGTTATTTGGAAAAAAAGTAAGGAGATAACACGATTCCGTAACGTAAATTTTTTTGTATTCTAGAAATCTTTCATTGACGGTCCTCGATTACATAAATAAATTATTAATACATGGTACTATTACATTTCATTAAATTGTGTGTAAAAAAATAAAGCAATTTGTATACGGTGTCATTTACGTAGTTTATATCAGTTTGTTAATGAATCTAAGGAAATCGTAATATTATATGACGTGTGCCATAGAAAGTGTCTTTAAACACAATAATAAATACTAAAATACATTAGTAAAAATGTAACAGTTAATTTATTTCCAGTATTTTTTTTTTATAATTTAACGTACAGTAATTTGTTAATAATTATATACCTTGCAATAAACCTCTTCTATAGTACATGCAGTATACCAATAGACGTAGTTTATCGAAAAAGTTACGCACGATAATACATTTTCAAACAAATTTAACGAAATTAAATAAGTCGGCACAATTTCTACTAGTTATTGATTAGGTATTTATTATGTAGGATATGATCCGTTGAAATTTCAGTGAAAATACATTTTTTAATTGTGATTTGTGTATACAATTAAATTCCTCTTGTATTCCTCTTCTAATATTATTCCTGTTTTACTTTGAAGTTATTATTTAACAACGAAACAATAACGAAAATAAATACAATAATTATTATGCATTAAAAATTATTTTTTGTTTTAAATTATAATATTAAGTGAATTTTAAGTCTGTCAATATCGTTACTACTCATATCACGTGTATACTATTGTCTATTGAAAATATTATTATCATAATATTATAAAATTTAAACAAATCACTTCTTCAATATATTAACAATATAGTATAAATATAGTGTAATATATTTTATTGTTATAATGACAATTATTAAAAATATTATATTATAATCATCTAAAAAGTAATTATATGGGTCGTTGGAGGACTCAGTGCAGAATCGTATGAACTTGGATAGATGAGTCGCGGAAAAACAAATAGTAAAAGAAAGGTTAATAGTATTAAATACCGATAAAAATATATAATTTATATGTATAAATATATTATATTTACTTCAATTACACTCAACCGTTGACGAATATATTTTTCTTATTGGCTATACTCGATTTTTTAGATAATATAGGTACTAGTTTATAATAGTTTTTTGTTATCATCATGAATTAATTATTGGAATATATTTTTGTTTACTTTTCAGCAACTCATGGAGTTGGAATAGGAAGTTGGAGAGTAATATCGCTAATAAATATTATGTATTCAACCATCGTTACGCATATAAGCATACATAACACTATATAGTTTATTGAAAACACGACTAAAAAAATAAAAAGTTCAATTTTCATAATACTCGTTCATTATGTGCCATTTTTTAAACATTTTTAATACATATTTTACGGCATATGTGTAACAACTAACCAAACTCTTAGAATAATACATTATTATTCATTAATGTTCTGTATGATTATATACTTACATTATATTGCAGTAATGAGTGATCACACGTTTGAAATCACATAATATTAAATTTACCATTCATTCAACGCGAATGAAAGAGTTGAAATATAGTAGTTAAAATGATGTATCTTGGACGTGGAACATATTATATTATATTCTTTTACCTATACACAATACGGTGTATCGTTAAACCATTAACCATATGCTAATTGTTGGCAGACATGTGAGAAAACGCTGCCAAGCACGTTACTCTACTTGCACGACATTAATGTATTGAGAAAAGTCAAATTCGCAACGGCAATGGATAACATTTGACTGTACACATGTACCCGAAGCCATAAAAATAATTCCATGACTTCCTATTGAAATTTAGCGAGCAACGCGTTTCTCTTCGACGATATTTCTTTTACAAAGTAAATTATCAAAATCAAACAATAAATGCATACCTCGTATGACATACAAAACGTGTGTGCTGCTTTTATGCGCGACCAACCACCGCTCACACCTCAGTCCATTGTTTTTTATTATGATTACACACACATATATATACATATATTTATTTTTTTTTTTGAACAACAAAACAAATATAACCGTAGGTAGGTGTACACATCTGCATACGTCAGAAAACAAAAGATTATAAATACACTCAGTAATTGATTACATATATTATATTATTATTATCATCAAATGCGTATTTAATATTTACAATGACACATTTTTATTTAAATTTTGGCATGCATCGTAATTCTATATATTATAATAATATTATGTTAATAAAATCGATGACTTATTTAAACTTAAAAAAAAAAAAAATAAAATAATTAATCATATTATTATATTAACTCTTAGAGTTTACAGGTAATAATCTAATTATTTTTGTGTTTGAAAAAAATCAGCCACATTGGCCAAACACGGCTCGGTAACTTTTTGTCAGATGCCTTTGTCGTGGTAAGTATAGAATTTTAGATAAGTCTTTTTCGTGAAAACTAAAGACTAATATGGCAAAAAGTTACTCGAATATCGGAAAGCAACAATAATCTAATACCGAGTATAACGAGCGAATTTACGTCGTAAGTCAGCATATACGGTGTATATCGACTAGCGACGAAAAATACGCTCGCATAATATTATAATTATAACATGCAGATGTCACACCATCCGATTTTTATCTAATAACTGTTGCACGAAACTACAAAAACAGTTTATATGAAAAAAAAAAAAAATAATAATAATAATAAGGCCTTACACAATTATGCGTATATAGTCGTTGTAAATAATATTAAAACTCATAAGTTCGATTAAGAGAAAGAAAATTTTTTTGGAAACTGCGATTTGCAGTGACGCTTAAATGATATTAAATTTCTATACGGGTAATTTACGCGATGGTCTGGGCAGACGGTTGTACTTGTCCGTTGTACGCCATCTGTTGAGCTTCCTGCATGCTACGTCTGTAATATCCACCACCGTTGGTGCTGGGGGCGGCAGGTGCGGACCATGGGGCAGCCTGGACGTTACCGGCGCTCCACGTGTCAGCGATCTTGCCGAAGCCACCAGATGCACTAGCATACTTCTGGAATGCCATCACACCGGCGATAAGCAGAGCCAACTTGCCGAATACCAACGCCTTGAGTGCGAAGAATCCAATGATTCCCAAAAGGATGGGCAACACGGCAACGATCTTGACGGCTAGGAATCCTAGGATGGGCAACACCTTCTTCTTGATTTTTCCACGGCCTGTGATAAACACGATAATTATTAACAAAAAAAAAAAAAAAGAGAGTTTAACGCCCAGCGCGAAAGCAGAACTAGAAACTAAGAAATAGACTACGGCGATAAATAACAATAATAATAGTAACATAATACACCATGATGGTACTTGCCTTCTTCAATAGCTCGGGACAGCTCTTCGGGGTTGGTTTGTGGGAATTTAAGTTGCAGGGTCCTAGATTGGAGGAATCTGATGGCTGAGTTAACGACCATGTCGGTGACTTTGGAAGGTTGCTGTTGGAGCTGTCCACGGAGCTCTTCTTCAGTGGGAAGAGCACGCGAGTCCCTCTGCGATGACGCAACTTCTTCGGTGTTCTTAAGTACGGTCAGACCGGGCAACACTTGCACAGAACCGGCAGTTCGGGCTGCTCTTTCGAGGGCAGCTGCTGTTTTGGCAGCCAAGCAGGCTGCTGTATCCACATCCTTGGCACACTCGTCAGCTATCCTAGTAACCAATGCCCAGTTTCCGCTTACAGTCGACTGTTGCGGCGGTTCTTCCAGGTAGTTGTTGTCGCCGGACACGACGACGGCAGCATGCAAGCAGAATGGCAACACGGCCAATACGGCGCAACTCGCGAAACGCATTTTATATAATATTAATATCGTTGGTTACTGCAGCGATACGAGAGACACGAAACGGCAGTACGTGTTACGGTGTGTGTGGTAAACGTTATTTACGCGATTTCGGTGATTTGAATGCGGACAGACGAACGGTCAGTACGATAATGGGGCGAAACGCAGACAGTCGTCCCTATATATCGCGCCGCACCTGTTTTCAGCCAAGGTTTGCCCCACCAGAAGACACTCGTGTTTAAACGCGCGCGCGCTAGTCGACCACCACCGCGACGACAACGACATTATTATCATTATTAATAATTTGATGGCAAACGCGTAGAGACGCTGTCGACGAGGTGGTGGTAGAGGTGGAGGACCTCGCCCCGGTAGAAAGCGAATATGCGACCGATGAGGTTCATATCGTATACCCTACACCTACGTCCGTCTGAGTAATCGGTTCGTCACTCTGACCCACCTCCCCCCATTATGTTTGAATAGAGAAGGAAGATTTTTGGAATTCTTTTTTTACTTCTACACATCGTTTTTTTTTTTTTTTTTAAGTTTCCGGAGGTGAACGACTGCATTTTGGGAACCGATTTTGTTTCCCCGATCTCCAGGTCAACAGCGGTGAACGGTCTCGTACGCCGCACGTGCCGACGATGATGATGATGTAATAGAGTTTTTGGCGACATCCATAATGAAAACTACGTAATATTAAAAATCTATATATATTATTAATATTATAATTGTAATTGTAGGTATCTACAAGTGTACGACAAGAGCTTTTGTCTTGTACACTTAATTAATTGTATTAATTATTTTCTTACTCTACACTAAATAACGGATTTGAGGTGCGCGTTTTCAGCAAAGTGTTTACTTAATAGAAAAATAAAAAGGTTAGAAAGTTGATTTAAAATATTTTATCTGGTGCGAAATTATGAAAATATTTAATGAAGAAAGCCATTATGTCCAATGACATAGTAAAATACTATTACTTTTGTTAATATAGTACCTTTTTTTTTTTTTAATTGATTCGGTAAGATTTTTTTTTTAATAGCTTATATTATCTGTATATGTATATCAGTATAACGTATTATAATATAATATTTTATATTTTACAAAATATGTATCATAATTTCAAGTTTCACAATTTATATAGCTTTTGAAATATATTTGTAAAACAAAGTATATGGTAAAGGTAAATTTAACATTTTTTTATTTTATAGTACAATATTTAATGTAAGCTTTTATAATAACTTGAATAATTTGAAAATGTGGTCAGTTTTCTATATAAAAAAATATAATAAATATAATATAAATTTTTTTTTTCCTCAATTTTTTCAAGTATAAGAATAATTAAGTAATTATTTATTATGATTAAGTATTTATTTTTAGATAAGTTAATTTTGCAATATGCATTGTTTTATAAAACAAAAAAAAAAAAAATGTAGTTAGTTTTCCCTTTTCTTATAATTTATATTAAATTACATTTAAATAATTAAGAACTTTGCTCTTTCGCATTTAAGCATTTCTTACAGGATGAATTTACAACTGTTTTTATTCTTATTTTCTTTGTATAATATTAATCTTAAGTTGGCATATTGCGTTCCTAATATGATAAACTTAAAAACATTTTAACTAAATTCGAAAGCAGCACGATTACAATACCTAAAATTGATTATGTATTTATCTCAATCGAAAGCTAAATTGGCATATGTCAGGAAGGTGTCACGGAAATCGACCTCGTATAAAATATCATTTTTTATCTTCTTGGCCTCTAGCCTCTTTACAATTAAATTCATCATCAGCGTATTCATCAATACATTCTTGACGCATTATCTGTCAAAAATTATTAGAATAAACTCAGAGTGTGTCAACACATAAATGTATATATATATATTACCATACAGTCGTCTAAACAAAACAATTATAATTATATCGAGTAGGGAAAGTCTAGGGAATTGAATATGTGTATGTATATATTTATATATATATATACATATATACGGGCTGGTATCTACGATTGTTGGAAAGAAAATTTAAAACGCCTCGTTCAATATTAATGAATCATGACTGGAATCGTGAAGAGATTTATATAACACGGCCAGGAGGAACCCAGGCAAGCGATAATACATTGTAACACACACGTAGGTGGATTATAGCGCACGCGCTCGCCGGATCTGAATTTAAAACAACTGACATATCCGTATACTAATAATACGTATAGACCTTATCGTATCGGGAACATTGATTATTGTGAATGATATACTTTATATGTGACGAAAACCCGATAAACCTATCCTAATCTAATACATAAGCATTCATTTTAATAAAACGAATGCGTGACGCTATGTTATAGACGAATCGTATATATATACGCGTATGTATGCATATATCATAAGAAACTAAATCATCTATCGTCGTAAACTGTCGTCGTCAATGCTAATAAAATATATCATAAATCAGACAAGTGAGGACTTCGGTAAGATCGTACGACATATCGACGAGACTATTAAAATTATGTCTACACTACAATGTAGTAGAACATATACAGATGTGAGAGAAACTCTCGGAGGATGGAGAAAAGCACACGAGTAATCCTTGAAATGCCACTGCATAGTTTTCTCCAAGCCCGATCAAATCAGTCCCCCGTTCCCTTAAACACGTGTAAAACTATCATGTATATTATAAAACCCAGACTATACGCTCGTGGTCATCGCTGTCCGCCGAGATTACGTGATGTTTATGGACAACCTTGACCTTGTTGTACCGCGGCGGTACGATGCAATGCGATACGGCTGCATTATAAATATACAAGTACGCGCTAGTATTATACATTATGTTATAATAATAATAGTGAGTATAAAAAATAACGACCAGATAATGGGATTCATGTATTTATCTACGGCAGGAGACTAAAGCGGCGTCTTAAGTTTTTTTTTCGAATTTCATTTCGAGTTACAAGTTCAACATGTTTTAAACTATATTACCGGATCTACCAATGCACGGGTGTACGGGGAAAATCAGTGTTCATAGCTTATTATTATTATTATTATTATTGTAGATAAAGAATAGGATTTCGAGGAATTGTTTCGGTCGACGTATGGAATTTTCGAACAGTTTAAACACACAGTAATTATAATATTGAAATTGGAGGTCGGGTCACACATATTTGACTGTCGCAAAATTATAACTTCAGCGAGAAAGAGACAATGGGATTGGTCTTTTACAACGGCATTAACGATGATCGAAATTACCACTTGTCCCACATTCGTACGCGTATGAGTGCAAACGTATATATATATATATATATATATATATATGCATCATGCATGTTCGGATATTACAAGGAGTGTTGTACACAGTACACATATCATATTTTGTACTCAGCTATATCATAACTATTTGCCAGCTGTAACACACTTCGTATTTCGAATAAATAATTTTTGGTTCATTAGAAATTATTGCCAAATCAAAAAAAAAAAAAAAAAAAAACATAAAAGATTTTGACATTTGATCATTGCAATAGGCTTGTTATTATTATATTGTGTACTCTAAAAGCTTATTGGAAATCGTGAGTCTTAGAAAAATGGTTTCACTAATCTAGTTGATGTCAACGCTATGACACTATACTAGACTTGTTTACCACAAAATATATTTGAAAAAAAATTAGGACAAAGAATACCTAAAAAACACAAGTCGTGATGTCACGTACTCGCCAACAAATACAAATGTCACTACCCAAGTATATTAAATTAATTTTAAATATTTTTCGATGTTAAAGTCACACAAAACAAATGAGATAGAAAAGCCGACGTAAATAAAGATAGATGATATATATTATATAGTTTATACACTAATTGTGTTTTTGGAGATTTTATAGAAGTATATTTTTTTTCTGAAATTAACAGATTTATTATTTCAGGTTTGTCAATGAAAATGATCGATTATTGTTTTTACAGTCTGAACATATTACAATATATTCAGTCGAAATTATATAAAACAAATTTTGTATAATTTAAAATATATATCTATAGTTGTTTTATTTTTTCGTGATGATATTTTAATGTTTTATTTTATTTTATTTTTTTTTTTTTTAGTGGCTATTTTTATATTATTTAATTTCATTAATACCTACGTAGTTAAATTACAAATATTAAAATAATGGTGTTTTTTAAATATTCAAATTAAGATGAATCGAAGACCACAACATATATCTATCGGTATGATTTTTTAATCCGTTCGTGCCATACAATAATACCAAATCCCTTAACTAGCTTATTTTTTTTTTAAGATACATAACAGTAAAATATAAATGGCTAACAGTAAACAACTGATACAAAGAAAATATGCGTTATATTAGAGGATTATTATATTTCAATGTTATACATTTTAATGAATATTCCTATGATCTGTTATAAATTAAAGTTATTATTTTATTTTATTACATTTATATTAATCTCGTATTCGTCAATTCTGTTAAAAATATAATTGATTAATATTTGGGCTTTTGACATAAAATAAACGCGCAAATGAGTTATTCGGAACATCGGAACTGCGATCGTGTGCAATTAATAGTGCTCGCGTACATACTAATGATTGATGACATCACTATTGTATTATTTTTTTATTATAGTATGGTATTAATAATGAGAAAGTGAGACTGTACGTAGAAAATAATATATTATAACATATAAAAATAGACTGTTAGATAATTCAACGTGAGTAAAATAGTCAAAACCTGTTAAAAAGAGTAATAAATTAGATATTTATCTTATTAGATTATAGTTTAAAGTAAAAATCATGTAATACAATACTATATAAAACATTTAATTTCTAGATAAGACGGAATTTATTTAAACAAGTTAAATAATATTATAAAGTTTTATATCAGTATTAATTGATAAAATGTCAAACTAATAAATTATTCAGAAAATATGATTATATTAAGGTAATATTTAATTATTTTATTGAAATAGTAGGGTTGCCAACCAATCGTATTTTATTTAAAAATCCAGTTTTTTATATGGACCTTTTAATAGTCTACAAAAATCTAGTATTTTCAAATTGGCACTGTTTAATGTGATTTAACTATTACAATATATAAATTAAAACAAAAAAAATAACACAATTTTTAAGTACTTTATGTAGTACTACTGTATAAATAATGATATTCAAAA